AATCCTTGATATAAATAATTATTTTTATTTAAGTTCCACAGGTAAAGTTACCTGTGATCTAATTAGACATTAATGACTAAAACAACATATTTTGCAATAACAACATCTATTGTTCTTCCCATAATCTCGCATGTAAGAATAGCCAGAATAGTAAAATACAAAATGTAGGAATAGCCAGAAGACACCGTTTGAAAACCCCTGCTACAAATATCAATTCCAACCAATACAAAATTACATCTTCATCTCCGATATTGCCAATCACAGACTTTTGAGATCCGTTAGAATTAGGAGACATGACAAGTGAAGCCGTTGTGTCTTAAACAATGAAAGAGAGGTGAAGGATACCAAAGGGACATTCAAACTCATAAGTCAAAAATAAAACTGACAAGGCCATGGCTAAAAAAGAGAAAGACAAACAAACAACAGTACACAATACACAACATAGAAAACCAAAGACTGAGCAACACGAACCCCACCAAAGACACGATGTCATACGTCTAGGCAATACTTTTATAATGAATCAATCAAATCTAAAATTTTCTCCTATTTCTTTTTTAAGCTTAAATGAGGAATAATCATTTTGTGCCCGTCGTAGTAGTCAATAACATTTTTCTTTTTTTTTTTTTATCTCATTTTGGTCGTACCCATCCTCATGGATATTTCAAATTCAGTATGATACCTAAGAAATACCCCGATGATTCTTACAAAATTCTGGACAATCATATAGTTTGCTTTAAGTATCTTTGGCACACGGGAACCGCATTAATTAGACCATTATAGATTTACCCCGTAAATGATAGATTTATGATCGTTTTGTTTAGGATAATTGAGATTCAGATTTTTATTTCAAACACGAAACGTTAATCATTGAACCATGACATGAAGACAAAGTCAAATGAATACTGTCTGATAGAAATATATACCTTCACTGAATCCATATACCAGATACAGTTTTTCCTTTTACTCACAGTAACTGAAAATCAAAGCGCGAAAGCGCTGTAAAGGCAGTTAACTACAGGTTGTGTGTATTTTTAGTCCAGTTATATCATTATCTTGCATAGTACAGTGTACTTATCAGAGGTGGCTTTCAGTATTTAAGATTTAGAGTTCTCTAATGATATTGAACAAGTTTTATGAATGTCATATTCTGAGCACTATATGAAGGCGATTGTTCTCACTTGTTTATGAACTAGTGCATTATGTCCAGTTTGTACCTTTTTTTATCTATGTTTATAGTCAAATACTGTTTAAAATAGTTAGGCATTTTCTTTTTAGTAAGTAGTAAATTATATCAACTGTATTTTATTCAACTTTGCAAATGTGGTTTGTTACTGGTAAGTATGGATGATAGTTCTTTCATTGGCAATCATAACACATCTCCTTATTTATATAATGATCTATATTCAACGACCTCAGGTACAAAAAAAATGTATGTAACTAAACTATTATGGGAAACCTTTGACTTCTTTCTTTTATATAAACTTTTGATTTGGTACCATAGAACTATGTAGAATAAATGTACATTGCAACATGTCAACTCTTTCAATGACAATACTTTTTTTAGAAACTATTACTCCAAGCAAAATTATATTTCCAAGTATAAAGTAATTTATGAATGAAAAAAGGAGTTCTTAATTAAGAAATAAACTGATTCGCTGAGCGCAGCTGGATACACCCGCAGAGGTCCAACCCTGAACAGTTGGGGCAAAAATGGACACAATATTCAAGCATGATACAGGTTTGAATTTGGATTGTAATTAAATATTCGACATATTATAGTTTCTGAATAAATGTAGTCAACGAATTTGAAATTGGTTATATGAAATGAATTTATATTCAATTAAAGATTTCTTGCTGTTGTGCAATACACTGTGCTGTTGCGTAATACTTAATAAATCTGTTGCCAGACTATAAACAAATTAAAGAACCTTTGTGAGCACGCTCACATACCCCACGCCCCCACATTGTCACTGGACAAACAAAATCTCACCAGATTCCTAAGTTCAAAGACTCATAACTCTACAAAAGTCAACTGATAAAAATTTTCTTGTGGATATGCACATTTACATATTATGTCCTCATTAACTACAAAGTTTCATGAAATTTTGTTGTGTGGTTTCAGAGGAGTTGCGATGACAAACTGTGCAGTAGTATATTGAGGCCAATAAGTTCAAAGGGGCATAACTCCTAGAAAAAAAATTGAATCATAATTTCCTGTCGATATGCACATCTACCGGGTACATAGTATGTCCTTATTATCTACAAAGTTTCATGAAATTCTGTTGTGTGGTTTCAGAGGAGTTGCAATGACAAACTGTTGCAGTAGTATATTGAGGCCAATAAGTTCAAAGGGGCATAACTCCTAGAAAAAAAATTGAATCATAATTTCCTGTCGATATGCACATTTACATAGTATGTCCTTATTATCTACAAAGTTTCATGAAATTCTGTTGTGTGGTTTCAGAGGAGTTGCGATGACAAACTGTTGCAGTAGTATATTGAGGCCAATAAGTTCAAAGGGACATAACTCCTAGGAAAAAAAATTGAATCATAATTTCCTGTCGATATGCACATCTACATAGTATGTCCTTATTATCTACAAAGTTTCATGAAATTCTGTTTTGTGGTTTCAGAGGAGTTGCGATGACAAGAATAGGACTGACGGACTGACAGACTGACAGACGGGTCAAGAACATTATACCCATGGGGTATAATAAAGTTTAATTTCTTCTCAATGTCATATTTGAAATTTATGAAAATCAATAGGGATATTACATCAATAGCTATAAATAATTCACCAAAGTTTCATGTGAACTGCTTAAAGCATTTTTGAGTTGTTGTAAAAAAACTGGAAAATCCCCCATTTTTAATGAATAAAACCCCATAACTCAGAAATGTAAAATCTAAAATTTATAAAATTCTAAAGGGAGCTTACGGATTAATAATTTAGTCTTAGATGCAAGATTTTTTTATCAGTTGTTAGTGGCTTTGAACAAGCTGTCAGTAACTGCGAGTACTCTCAGATCTGTACTTAGTGTCTTTTTGTTGTTTGGATGTACAACTACCTGGCCACGTCCACTTGTATTTGTATTTATCCATCTGATGAGTTAAGCCTCTTTCAACTGATTTTTATAGTTCGTTCTTATATTGTACTGTTACACCACTGTCCCAGGTTAGGGGGAGGGTTGGGATCCCGCTAACATGTTTAACCCCGCCACATTCTGTATGTACATGTATGTGCCTGTCCCAAGTCAGGAGCCTGTAATTCAGTGGTTGTCGTTTGTTTATGTGTTGCATATTTGTTATTCGTTTATTTTTTGTACATAAATTAGGCCGTTACTTTTCTTGTTTGAATTGTTTTACATTGTCATTTCGGGGCCTTTTATAGCTGACTGTGCGGTATGGGCTTTGCTCATTGTTGAAGGCTGTACTGTGACCTATAGCTGTTAATTTCTGTGTCATTTGGTCTCTTGTGGAGAGTTGTCTCATTGGCAATCATACCACATCTTCTTTTTTATATTTACATCAACAGATATAAACAATTCACCAAAGTCAAGGTGAGACAACAAAACTTAGTTGTAAGATCTCTGAAATTTTTTACACGGTACAAGTTTTTCTCATTGTTGGAGATTGTATGGTGATTGTACCTGTAACTGCTTAAACCCATTTCTTATGCACTTTGGTTCGATAAACTCACTGAATATCATACCACATCTCCTTATTTTTATATGCATTACAATTTACATGTGCATGTAATTGTAAATATATATATATCAGAACAAAATTCATTGCGTCACTTTTATTTATGCATCTTTTGGCACAATACAAGTTCTAAAATTACACAACATAAAACAACTAAATGTTATTTCAGATGAAAGTTTTGTTTCAGTTCCATTCCTAGGATTTATTAGAATTTTGTATGTTTTGCCAAGTCCAATAATTCGCTCTATGTGCACGTGTTAATTGGAGACTTTTCTATCCTGTATAAGAGTTTTGGAACTAATTCTGTTTCTTTTTTTGAAAAAAAAATGGCAAACAAATCTTGCACATTTAAACCTTTGTCTGCCATCACACTGTCACCTGGATCACATAATTGAACTATTCTACATCTTTCAACTATTTCATAGTCACTGGTACAACCAACATATGCATCAGAGACATAGTTGACTAAACCACCAGGTGTCGAACATACAAGTATTTTCAGTGTTTCTGTTTTTATATGATGAAAAGGTTGCCTGAGCTCTAGGAATTTTAGGTTTCATCACGGGATATTCTGTGCTGTCAATAATAATCCAAGTTGTAGGAAACTTTAATTTGAAGTTGGATGGCGAAAAATACCTGACTAAACCACTAGATGGCCAAGTGTTAGCCTCACACCACTGTTTAGACATAAAAACAATCCATGTATACACAATATTCTTATCACTAGATTCAATCTAGAATCTAGACAGTTCAAAGTTGGTTGTATAATGCCTCAATTTCATCAAAGTCATAAAAAAACTGATTTTCAACTGACACCCTATCAATTTGAAAATATATGTATCTCAAACAATGTGCTGCTGGACCAAGTGTGGTCAAAACAAGTTAAAATTTAGTATACAACTCTAAACCGGTATAAAAATGCATGGCTGTGTCACGTGTCTTCATTTCAAAATTCTCTGCTGAAAACATAGGCAGTTGGTGGTGGACAGTCATAAATCCTTTCTAGTATGAATGACTTCTTCAGGAAAACCAACTTTACAATCAAAACTTTCCTCTAGATTTCTACTACAATGTTCATCAAGTTTAGTTCTTTTGTTTTCACAGGAAACTGCCCTGATTTTTCTTTTTGCGGACGATTCAGTCTCTTGCTTGGTCCAGGAAAATAGGCTGGGAATGGCAGTAGACTTAAGTCTCTGTATGGTGGGTTTGCACCCTGAAAAAGGTTATAAAACATTAGTTTTTTGATAATTAAATGAACTTCCATTAGCAATGTATACTTTGTACTACCTGGCAAAATATTAAATGTATTTATAAAGGTTACTCGGGAACACGTGTATTTGTTTACTTTTAACACGTGTGTTTAAATCAAAACATGTTTATGTTTAATTTGATTGGACCATCAGTAAGTTATTACCGGTTTAAGTTATATCAATCATGATAACTTCATGCTAGAATTTTAGCGCTAAAATTATAATAAGATATCTAGAATTGTCATTCGAGGTTCGCCTATCCGACAGAAAGGTTCGTTTTTTCTTAAATCGCCACTTGGTAAAATGTCCGAATCTTCTCCACGTCTGGAATTGAATGAAGACATACTACTCGAAGGAGATAATAGTTTACCGCCACCTAATATTCATAAAGCAGCTGATAAGTCGTCTGATTTGGTAGATACTGTAGAGCTTTTTAAGACAATTTTAGACAGCAAGTTAGGTGAGTTGAAATCTGAACTCATACAAGAACAAGATTGCCTTAAGAGAAAAATTAAGGAGGACGTCACTCTAAAATTTAAGGGGGAAGGAAACAGAATTCAGTACACCTTTAACGAGGAATTATTAGACACTGTTAATAAACTTTCAAAATTCATCCCTAACTCCAATACTCAAGCATATAGATTAGTTCTTGACATAACTGATAAGATCAAAAGCCGTAATAAGAAAATACGCATAGCTGATGCTTCCCCTGCTGGTTGGGGAACCGTTAGGGAATACGAATCCAATGCCGTGGCTTCAGATTCTGAAGATGAGAGAAAGATACGACAAGCTGAGACCAGAGCTATCCGTACCTCCAAGGAGAAGTCAAAATCTCGCCAGCAACCTTACCCAAAAAATCCGCCTCGTCAACAACCTGCGGAATCTTATGGTAACCCTGCTTACGCTCAGCATTATCAACGTAATCAGCAACAGCCCTTTCGTGGGAGCTTCGCAAGGCGTGAGCCTTGCTCAATCGACACGTGCCACTACTGCAAGCAACAAGGCCACTGGAGAAAAAACTGTCCTCTTCTCGCCAGTCTCAGGTCATCCAACAGCAACTCCACAACCTACCAGAAGTAGTAAAGTAGGGCCTGAACGTCACTCTCCAGTCATTGTGAATGATAAGTATTTAGACACTATTAATGACCAATTTTCTACATGTTTTGTTGATAACGATTATATAGAATCTTTTTTAGATCAAGTTCAATATTTTGAAAATTGTCAGTCATATGATAAATTTAAAGGGGTGAAAGGTAGATTAGCTTGTCATGTAAAGTATTGGGAAAATATAGGTGCTTGTCCTTTTGTGCTTGATACAATAAAAAATGGTTATGTTATTCCATTTATAGATACACCTTTTAAAATGTACCACAGAAATAATAGATCAGCACGGCAGAATACTGAATTTGTCACAAAGTCAATTGAAGATTTAGTTCAAATAGGTTGCGTAATTAAAGTGCCTTTTCAACCATATGTGGTAAATCCATTGAGTGTTGCTACTCAAAAGTCCGGTAAGAAACGACTTATTTTAGATATGAGTCAATTGAATAAACACATAAAGCGCGAAAAAATAAAATTTGAGGATTGGAAGTTAGCTATACAATATTTTGACAAAGATATGTATCTGTTTAAGTTTGATTTAAAATCTGGTTATTTTCACTTAGACATATGCTCACAGCAACAGACTTTCTTAGGTTTTCAGTGGGAAGGTCAATTTTATTGCTATACTGTTTTAGCTTTCGGAATTACTACCGGTCCGTACATTTTTACTAAATGTTTGAGGCCACTAGTAAAATTTTGGCGTGGAAACGGTATAAAAGTTGTTTTGTATTTAGATGATGGATTTGGCATGAGTCCAGATGAAAATACATGTAATGAGCAATCGTCCTTCGTAAAAAGGTCTTTGATTGATGCTGGTTTCCTTATTAACGAGGAGAAGTCTGTTTTTAAACCTGTTACCGAGTTAGAATGGTTGGGAATAGTTTGGAACTCGAAAGAATACAAATTATCTATTACTCAACGTCGAGTTGACGATTTGATTTTCTCATTGAATGTAATTTTGGCTAAATTTCCCTATGTTACAGCTAGATCTTTAGCTCAGGTTGTAGGTAGAATTATTTCTATGACTCCCGTAATCGGAAATGTGGCTAGAATTATGTCAAAGTTCTGTTACATGGAAATTGAAAGTAGAATTGGGTGGGATATTCCCATTACAGGGTACAAACCCGTCGAGGTTTTATCAGAGTTAAAGTTCTGGTTAGAAAATGTCACCATGATTAACTATCGTAATTTATGTCATTACAGTAAATCTTCTGTTGTCATATACTCAGATGCTAGTAATATTGCCGCTGGTGCATACACCGTTGAATTAGAAAATAAGATTTTCCATAAGATGTGGACATGTAGTGAAACGGTACAAAGCTCCACATGGAGAGAGCTGAAAGCTATAGAGTTGGCCCTTTTTTCTTTTAAGAATAGTTTCACAGGAAAAACTATAAAGTGGTTTACTGACAATCAAAATTGTGTCAAAATTGTTAATTCGGGAAGTATGAAAGAAAATCTTCATGTTATAGCAAAATCTATTTTTTCATTTTGCATTCAAAAAGGAATATCAATTGACATTCAATGGATTCCCAGAAAAGAAAATGAAAAGGCTGATTATATCAGCAAAATGGTTGATTTCGAGGACTGGGGAGTCACACATATATTTTTCAATTTTTTAAATGATATGTGGGGTCCTTATTCGATTGACAGGTTTGCAAGTGTCGAAAATAGAAAAGTTATGAGATTTAACTCCTTATTTTGGCAACCTGATTCTGAAGCAGTTGATGCATTTTCTCAAGTTTGGACCAATGAAAATAATTGGCTAGTTCCACCAATTAATCTTGTGATACGATCGATTAAACACATTATAGCTTGTAAAGCTCGAGGCACGTTAGTTGTGCCTAAGTGGATTTCTGCTGCATTCTGGCCTTTGATATTCGATAAACATCTGATTTATCAAGATTACGTAAAAGATGTTATTGTGTTTAAAAATACTGATGGTATTTATAAGCAAGGTTCGAATAAGAATACGATATTCGGAATTGAACCGTTTGGTTCGCCAGTTTTGGCTGTTTTGCTAGATGCATCTTAGACATGGCCCTAATATATATAGATATATTTTAGCAGGCATGGTCTGTTTGTGACATGGCCCTAATATATATATAGATATATTGTAGCAGTCATGGTCTGTTTGTGACATGGCCCTAGTATATGTATATTGTAGCAGGCATGGGTGTTTATGTTGACATGGCCCTAGTATCGGTAATGATATTGTAGCAGGCTTGGTTTTTTATTTGACATGGCCCTAGTATCTATAATGATATTTTAGCAGGCATGGTAATTTGTTTTACAGTTTATGGCCCTAGTATCTATAAAGATATTGTAGCTGGCGTTGAAATATTTGAATATATATTATATTTTACTGTGTATAGAAATCTGAAATATGCTAATAATTCGTCCTCTGTATATGTATATAAAATGTTATTGCAATTTTACGTTTTTCAGATATTTTTTCAGTAGGACATTGGTCAGACTTTAATTCACAAGTTGCCTCTAATAATGATCTCAGCAGTTTGTTCAAACAGTTACCAGAATTCCTTCTTTCGTCCAAGGCTGCGAGTACTCAGAAGAAATATAGATATGCCTTCAATTCATGGTGTAAGTGGACTAGTCAATATTCTTTTTCACCATTGCCAGCATCTCATTACATATTTCTTTATATTTAATTCATTTGTCTGAAACTGCAAAATCGGTTTCAAAATTAAATGATGCTTTTTACGCCATAAAATGGGCACATAAATTAGCTGGCGTTGCTGATCCCAGTGAAAATAATCTAGTTGCATCTGTTCTTGAAGGGGCTCATAGAAAAATAGGTCATTCAGTTGTCAAAAAAGAACCTATCACACCGCATATTTTGAAAAATATTGTATGTAAATATGCTAATAATACTTGTAATTTAAAAGATGTAAGAATAGCATGTATGTGTTTATTAGCCTATGCTGGCTTTTTAAGATTCTCCGAGTTAGCTAACTTGAGAAGGTCTGATATACAGTTTTCCCCTACTTACCTTACACTTCATTTAGTCAAGAGTAAAACTGATGTATATAGGGAAGGGAAAGATGTTGTCATTTCAAAAACAGGGAATATTACATGCCCGGTAGATGTACTTCAGCGTTATCTAAAGTTAGCTAACATTCCTGAAGAATCGAATGATTTTATTTTTAGATCTATTTGTTATTGTAAATCTTTGAATATATACAAACTTAGAAAGAGTAGTCATATTTCTTACACCAGAGCCAGAGAGTTATTGTTATCTGCACTTGACAGTTTAGGTCTTGATAAAAAACAGTTTGGCTTACATAGTTTGAGGTCAGGAGGAGCTACTGCCGCGGCAGAAGCTGGAATAGATGACCGGTTGTTTAAGAAACACGGGAGATGGAAAAGTGATAAAGCCAAAGATGGTTATGTTAAAGAGAGTATACTCAACAGATTGTCAGTATCTAAGAATTTAGGATTGTAATTTATATTGTTTGTCCCCCCTTTTTCTTTATGTCCCTTTCTTTATCAATCGAAGCTTTCTGTGCTGTCGGGGCGAGCTGATAACCAAAAACTGTGTTGAGTTTTTACTTTGTAAATGCTTTATGTTCGTTTGAAGTATTGAATAAGAACATAAATGTATTTATAAAGGTTACTCGGGAACACGTGTATTTGTTTACTTTTAACACGTGTGTTTAAATCAAAACATGTTTATGTTTAATTTGATTGGACCATCAGTAAGTTATTACCGGTTTAAGTTATATCAATCATGATAACTTCATGCTAGAATTTTAGCGCTAAAATTATAATAAGATATCTAGAATTGTCATTCGAGGTTCGCCTATCCGACAGAAAGGTTCGTTTTCCCACCCACCCACCCCTTTTATTAAGACTTCATAGGAATGTGAATCAGTATGTTATGTAGAAAATAGTTGATAAAATACATGTATGTAAATCGAAATGATTTTTTCTTCAACTTATAGAACATTTTTCTATTGTAGATTGTGTTTATATGTGATGGCAGCGGTCGATGACAGCAAATTGGACATTTGTTTATTGTTTATAATAAAAATAAGCTTTCTGTGCTGTCGGGGCGAGCTGATAACCGAAGCTTTCTGTGCTGTCGGGGCGAGCTGATAACCAAAAACTGTGTTGAGTTTTTACTTTGTAAATGCTTTATGTTCGTTTGAAGTATTGAATAAGAACATAACTAGATTTATTCATTACAATCTGGATAAAACTATGTTTGCCTGATTCAATGTATGTTATGTAAATCCAAAGGACAAACAATGAGAGACTTATGCAACAAACGTACATTGTTTGTACTTAAATAACTATAATATAGATGAGAGCATGTCATTGTTTTGTTCCTGTTAACATTGTCATAGATATTTTTCAAGAAAGTCTATGAGGCATAGCTTATGCATTCCTGTCATTACTACATTAGCATAATTACTGCTAAAATAATTCTCAGTATGATATACCTCTTGTAAGAAATCATTATAATTGTAGCAATCACCAAAAAATCTCAAACAGATCACATTGAATCGTAATCCAAAAAATTATGACGTCTTAAATTAACCACCACCATTTGTTCTAAAACGATTAATTGCGGTTGTAAACAGACTTTGGTTTATTCGCATGGCGATTATATATATAACTATATATTTCAAAAAGAAAATAGAGTTTTACCATGAATAGTTTCCTGCACCCAGTCTTTTTCAGTAAAATGTGCCTTGCAAACAACAGCTGATTGAGATGGACTCATCGTGTTCTCGTCCAATCTGCGTATGGGCCATGGCGTTGATCCAACTTTTCCTTCTTTTTAAGTCATTTGGAAATGCATGTCCTCCTCTTAAATGACATCCAGGTACACAACAACAAGTACTTGGCATCGTTAATTAAAAATGTACAAATAGTTGCACAGTGCAGAAACCGGAAGTTGAGGAACAGGATCGGCTAGCACGGCGCCACCTATTCAGGAACGATAATTTGCTACTTTATATAACTGCGAAATAACAATAATGTTAGACGGGTTCACGTGCATAAACAGAAAAGCGCTTTAAATTGTATAATATAATTCATGTTCAGTCGACCTTTAATTATTATATCAACGACTGAAATTATTTATAAACATCTAGATTGCAGATAACACTCGAAATTAACCCGACCTCTTTCCACACGGAATTCAAATAATTCTAGTTTGTCAATCGGTTGACTGCTTTTAATGCAAAATACAAATATATCAAAAGTTTTTAAAACTAACAAAACACAATGATCGTTTCTCTATTTCCCAATGTAAATGAAATGAAACAAAAAACATTTTATATCACAATAAGAAGAGGAGAGAATTCAACATTTCCGGATCTACTTGGAGCCTAATGACCCCCCACGTAGATAAGTTGGATATCGCGGAAGGAAAGATTAACCCGGCAACCAGAAAGGCATTAAAGCACTGCCTTTAAAAATCATGTGATAATCAAAGCGCTTGTGAGCACTGATGGATACAGATTGCTTTCATTTTGCAACATCAATTTTAAATTAAATGTTCAATTAAAATGGCAATATTTTGAATTGGAAGTAATCTTCTTACATAATTGTAGCTGAAATTAAAGCTTTTTTTTAAAACAGATAGATTCCTACCTTTTTGAAAGTCACTGAACCATGAAAATGACATCAATGATAACAGACATATGCCAGACGGAAACATCAGAGCATAGCGCATCTGGACACAAGATATGGATTATCCACCTTTTCTGCCTTCTGAAATATAATTCTGTATACAAATTGATAAGGGTGCATCCCATAGAGTAACATCCCATGTTTAAAGCATTTTGCAACACTCATCACAGGCGAGATAAAAACCAGAATTGGTAGTTTGATGATGATCATGTAACAAATGTAGTGACTATCTGTCTATACATATACATTTTGACATTGCACAAGGTCATGTTTTGCTCGGACTGTTAATTGATCTTTTATACTTAATCTATTGCAAGTTGGATGTGTACTGATAAATACTTTAAGGCCGTACAGTGACATATAGTTGCTAACCATCTACATCATTTGGTCTCTGGTGGAGAGTTGTCTAATTGACAATCATACCTTATCTTCTTATTTTTATATTGGCAGGGAAACTTAAACACCAATTAGCCATTTTCAGTCACTTTGTCTCCAATATAGTTCAAATACAAAAAGGAGCATACAAAATACATTGACTTGGTACTAAAAACTCTGATCAACAGGAACACAATGAAAAGAAATTCCATTTAAGTTGGCTGAAATATACATATTCAACATGCCATGTATAAATGTGTGATTTTTCTTATCCTTTATAGCCCTTTAAAGCTAAGTTTAATAATATATATACATATCAATAATTACTGCACTGAAATCAATAGAACAAGGATCTAATGGACAACTACAAAATTACAGCATCATATTATTAGGATAATTCGGAGTCATCTAAAAATAAATGTGTTATCAATTAACCCATTAAGTAAAATAGATGAAGTATAAATCTACAGATATGAACTCTAGACTTTGAGAATTATGAGAAGCACTTTTATCTTATTTGAACAAACACAATGAATTTAAGTACACTTATCTTTGATCAATGCAAATAACAACAATTATGTAAACTTTATTTCTAAAAAAATATATATAAAAAAGAAACAAAAATACACATAAATTCATAACAAATGTGATAACTATACATTTAAATTCATAACAAATGAAAAAAGACTTCAAAATTTTGGAATGGAAAGTACCTGGTATGTAAAAAAATCAATAATCTGACCTTGAGGCCAAAAAGTTACGGTTAGATGTTGGTCTTGATAATTGACACATTGTCTCATGGTGGGACAAGAGCATCTCAAATTTCATGAGTGTATGTCAAATGATCAACTAGAGGCTCTCAAGAGCCTGTGTCGCTCACCTGTATTTACTGATGCTTTGGAAATCATGTAAAATAAGGTTAAAATCATAATTAATAGTATTAGATATTAGATATTATAATGATATCTAAGATAATAACAAATAAACAGCTGCACCATGAGCGCATGATACGCCCGTCTTCTTGTGTGTGAATTTTTATGCAATAAGCATAAATAGTTTCTGACATACGGCGTGACATGCGAAAACCCCCTTTTTTTCCCCAAAAAACTCAATATCTCTAAAATAAAATTTTGAATCAAAACCAAAAAGTAAACAGATCTTAAGATTAATATAACTAAGAAGTGTGTAAAATTTTAAGCAATAATCATAAATCGTTTTTGAGATATGGCGCGACATGTGAAAACCCCCCTTTTAAAAAAAAAATCAATATCTCAAAAATAAAATTTTGAATCAAAACCAAAACGTATACAGATCTTTAGATTAATATAACTAAGAAGTGTGTAAAATTTTAAGCAATAATCATAAATCGTTTTTGAGATACGGCGTGACATGTGAAAAACCCCTCCCCCTTTTTTTACAAAATACTCAATAACTCAAAAATAAAATTTTGAATCATCACCAAAAAGTATACAGATTTTAAGGTTAATATAACTAAGAAGAGTGTAAAGTTTTAAGCAATAATCATAAACTGTTTTTGAGATACGGCGCGTTATGTGAAAAACCCCTCCCCCTTTTTTAACATAATACTCAACATCTCTAAAATAAAATTTTGAATCATCACCAAAAAGTATACAGATCTTGAGATTAATATAACTAAGAAGTGTGTAAAGTTTTAAGCAATAATCATAAATTGTTTTTGAGATACGGCGTGACATGTGAAAAAAACCACACACCTGTTTTAGTTACTAAGTCCCGTAACTCAAAAAGTTTTAATCTTATTTTCACCAAAAAGTATACAGATCGTTTGACCATCATAAGAAACAACTATGTTAAGTTTCATGAAATTTGGATAAGTCATTCTCAAGTTACGGTGCGACATGTTTACGCCGGACAGACAGACGGACAGACAGACGGACGGACGCCGGACATTTGTATACCATAATACGTCCTGTCAAAAATTTGACGGGTGTATAAAAACTGCAAAATTTCCTTAAAATTACCAATTCAGGGGCAGCAACCCAACAACGGGTTGTCAGATTTGTCTGAAAATTTCAGGGCAGATTGATCTTGACCAGATAATCAGTTTTAGATTTATTCTAAATGCTTCGGTTTCAGAGATATAAGCCAAAATCTACATTTTACCCCTATGTTCTATTTTTAGCCATGGCGCCCATCTTGGTTGGTTGGGGGGGTCATCAGACACATTTTTTAAACTAAATACCCTAATGATGATTGTGGCCAAGTTTGGTTAAATTCGTCTCAGTGGTTTCAGAGGAGAAGATTTTTGTAAAAGCTAACAACGACGGACGACGACGCCGGACGCCGGACGCCGGATGCCAAGTGACGCCTCCAGGTGAGCTAAAAAGTCATGTCTACATGACAAGTAAGTGATGAACAAGAAGAAATATGTAAAGAACAAGAACAAGTATGTAAAGAACAAGGATAAGAACATGAAGAATAAAGGTTAATAACTAATAAATAGACTCATCCAATGGATTTGTTCATATTTGAATTTTTGTAGATCTTGTATTGCTGATCATTTTTTCTGTTTTCAGTTTCTACTTATGTAGTAAAATTTTCAAAATAATCATGTTTACAGTTTCAACCTATCTTTTCTGGAAAAAAACTTGAAAATTAGTCAAAAATTGTTATTTAGTGGCAATAACTCCTATAAGAAATTTTCCAAAGATTTCAGTCATTTTGACATTTTTGTAGATCTTGTATAGCTTATCATATCTGCTGTTCATAGTTTCTACCTTTCTTTTATAGTTTATATGTAAAACCTCCTATATTAGTCAAAACTCGTAATTTACAGGCAATAACTCCTATTATTAGTCATCCAATGGGTTCAAATATGGGTTTTTTTTGTAGATCTTGTATTACTGAATATTTTTGCTGTTAAGAATTTCTTCAAATCCAATATAGTTTTCAAGATAATAAATAAAAACTTGTGAATTAGTAAAAAATCCCCTTTTAAAATTTTTTGACCACAACAGACACCAAGTGATGGCAATAGCTCACATGGACCTTTGAACCAGTTGAGCTAATAAAAGGAGACATGAATTATATGTCAATTAGACAGCAACCTGACAACGATCATAAAAAAAACCCACTTAAGGCAACATACAGTCTTAAACAATATACAAGGGTTAATACAAAATGTCAAGCTCCAAATAATGAAAAACATTTAGATATGACATAGGACAATTACTGACAGGCACATGAATATGTGCAGGAGTAAAACTAGGTTTGTTGTTATGTCAACCCTCTCATTTTTTTAATCTGGGCAGTAGATTAATAAAACATACATAAAATAATATACAAACTTAAACCAGGACAGGAAAAGCACTTAACCTTATTATTTTAATTTGACCAATTTAACTGAGTCAGGTTTCAGTCATGCTCATTTTTAGGATAGTCATGTTTACACTATTTTGAGAATAAAATTCACAATTTATGTTTAAATAAAGGAACAGAGTACCAATGTTCCCTGCTTGGTACATATTTTATCTATACGGGCAATAACTAAAAAACATTTTAGTCACTGATGATAAAAGTATAATAAAATCAGGCAAGAATTGTACACGTAAGAGCGCTTACGAAGCAATTTGGACATAATTAATATTTCCAAGAGGCAGAACTCTTTTAAAAATAGTTGATCGTCACTGATTTTCAAATTTGTTAGAGAAATTGCTGAAATAAACCTCTGATATAAGTTGGATAAAAATATGACAAGAATTGTACATGTGAGATCTCTTACAATGCAATTTTCCAAACTTATCAGAGACATTGCTGATCTAAACATTTGATATAAGTTTGATAAAAATCTGACAAGAATTGTACAGGTGACAGGCAGAGTGCTTACAAGGCCTGACAGACATTATTTCTATTTCCCCTGCAATGCGTTGCACGGGGACAATAAATACACCAATTCAATTTCTTAATTATTTACTGACTATTTTCCACTACATTTAATATCTAACTTGAAGAAGATTTGAATTTTCAAATTTTTACTGAATTAATTTAAGCATGCATACTGTATATAATATTAAAAATCATGGCATCATGGCAGTATTCCAGCAAACACTCATTATGTATAAAGATACACCATAAAAAAAAATAGTCATCAAAGGAAATTTAACTAAATCAATTAACAATTACAAATTGATTGTAAAAAATATGATATCTATATTAACGTATACTGTATATATTAATGATCTAAAATTTATACTAAAACTTGTAGAAGGAAAGGCATACAAATATTGCATTTAATATTTAACAGATTAAATATGATATTGATACTGAACAATTTATCATAAAAATTATATGTGGAGAAAAAATATGTTTTCAATTGAAATCAACAATATATAACCTTTTAACTTCAGAATATTTGATGATTTTATTCTTTAATTTTTAATAGGTTTCATTGCACTAATACTGGAGAATATGGTCCTGAATTAAATATTATCTTGTATGTAACTTGCTCATGTAGATAACATTTTTTGAGAAATAAAATTCACTAATATTTGTGCAATAACCCTTTTTTATAATGCAATTATAATATTTTTAACCAGATTATATTGTTTTTCAAACAATTGCAATATACAGTCACCGACAGTTTGGAGTCTTTTTTCAACTCCATAATGTGTTTTCGTTCAGTGTAATACTTCCAACTTTCTAAATGATGCGCAAAATAGTTATATCACCACTGTTTTGCAGTTTGGTCTAGCAAAGCAAAAATAGCAGAATTAAAAAATTTATATTTGCAAACCTAAAAAATTAAAAGCACTAGTTTGTAATCAGCACATATATTGATCAATCTCATATGGTTCTAGAAATATACTGCAGAATATTAAAAATTAGATAAATTGAAAGCACTAGTAGGACACATTTTAACATAATATACTTTTCTGTAAAGGAATCTGAACAGGAGTCCATGCGTCAATGCAGTGTTAAAGTCTTGTTGAAATATTCAAGTATATAAAATAAACATTTAAAAGATATCAAATAGATGGAAAATTCTTTTTTGGAAAAGTAAAGTTTTTTTTGGTGATCCTGAAAGACAACTAAATCTACTGCTTTTGTTTGGTTTTGATTAACACTGATATACCTACATTATGTCAAAGGAAGTTTGTGTGGGAATGTTTTATATTCTGATAGACTAATTCACTATCTACATGTAGATGGACTTGCTAAATATATCTAGCCATGAATACCCAGGTGTTCTCCCAAATATTTTCAAATAACACCATGGGATTTAAATAAGTTTCCTTTAAATAATAGCACCAAATTAATAAAAAACTCTTTTCAGATAGCACCATGTTACCATAGTGCCATAAGGCCCTAGGGAGAACAATGTAATAATCCTTTGTTAAAAAAAGGGAGATAATCTGTCAATATTTTCTGACTAATGGTAGGAATACCAAGACCTATTTATAATTCTTGGCATTGCAGTGTTTAGAAAGTTTCAGGTAGATCTAAATGTGTACCCTAAGCACAAATGTAATTTGTTAATAATTTGCCAAGCTTTGAGTCAATTTTCAATTATCAAAATTTTAAATTGCATCTTATAAGGTATTTTCATGTTAAAATTGATCATGCAATAATCATGTGTATAAGAAAAATTTAAATCTAAAATGCTGTAAACAATTTTGCATAAGTTAAATTTACACATGTTAACCATATGCATGCATACCTTTGTCCTCTTAAAATTAAATGATTGCATTTCTTTTTCATTGCATAGTAAATAAAGAGTTAAAATGTAGCTTATCTGGAAATCTGCATAACAAAAATTAGGCTGTATTTTAAAGTCAAAACGGTTGAAAACTAAAAATCACATAGCTGCTTGAGTAATTCTGCTATAAATCTGGGGAGAAATGTCTAAATTGTCTATTCCTGTATAAAGTTGAGAAAAATCTGAACATTCAAGATCATAACTAAAGCTATCTAGCCACTTGGCAGCAGTTACTTCATCTTTTAGTTCAAGACTATGTGACATAACATCATGCCAAGTCTTAACCAATGATGTGATATTCTCATCTATGGGCACTGAGGGGAGACAACTCTGTATATCAACACCTCTCAGATATTCTGAGAAATGCCTAAGATTTGTAATGCTATGTTGCTTGATCTGTCTACTGAATGCATTCTCTTGACTCCATAATTCCCACATCAAAATACCAAGACTGTATATATCATGTTTATTCTCATAAATGGTCAGGTCTGTGTGTGTCATTATATCAGCTGAGAAATGAACATAGTCTGCAACACAGGTTATGTCAGGACTGAACCAGGATTTGTCTAACAATGTGGGACATGATATGTTCACCAGTACAACTTTACCGTCTTTGTCAATCTGAAAATAAAAAAATATTCAGTCACATGGGAACTATTATCACTTAAAATAATATATAGTAATAAATGAGTCACAAAAAACTCCAAACAAAATGTATGTCAGTCTTTTCTGCCTCCTATCTCAACCTTAAATCATTTATAACCTTGCCAAAAAATATTTAGAAATAGCATTTTATGTCCTTGTATTTCAACGGTTGATCAAATTGACCTAAATCCATTGAAAAAGTTACTGGAAATTGCTAAGGATCGGTCACAGTCCCAAAGTATAAGATTTTTAGGGAAAATCTATGTCAGGCTTGGTGAAAACATGAAAATATAAAATGGAAAGAATAGCAACACATACCATAATTGTTTATTTCTTCCTCATACAACACATACTGTAATGTTTTCCTTCTTGCTCATTAAACACATTCCGTAATGTTTTCCTTCTTGCTCATACGACACATTCCGTAATGTTTTCCTTCTTGCTCATACAACACATATAATGTTTTCCTTCTTGCTCATACAACACATACTGTAATGTTTTCCTTCTTGCTCATACAACACATTCCGTAATGTTTTCCTTCTTGCTCATACAACACATACCGTAATGTTTTCCTTCTTGCTCATACGACACATTCCGTAATGTTTTCCTTCTTGCTCATACAACACATATAATGTTTTCCTTCTTGCTCATACAACACATACTGTAATGTTTTCCTTCTTGCTCATACAACACATTCCGTAATGTTTTCCTTCTTGCTCATACAACACATACCGTAATGTTTTCCTTCTTGCTCATACAACACATATAATGTTTTCCTTCTTGCTATACAACACATACCTTAATGGTTTCCGTTTTGCTCATACAATACATACCCTAATGGTTTCCTTCTTGCTCATACAAAACATACTGTTATGGTTTCCTTCTTGCTCATACAACACATACCTCAATTGTTTCCTTCTTGCTCATACAACACATACCTTAATGGTTTCCTTTTTGCTTATACAATACATACCATAATGGTTTCCTTCTTGCTCATACAACACATACTGTTATGGTTTCCTTCTTGCTCATACATCACATACCATAATTGTTTCTTTCTTACTCATACAACACATACTTCAATTGTTTCCTTCTTGCTCATACAACACATATGGTAATGGTTTCCTTTTTGCTCATACAACACATGTCATAATGGTTTCCTTCTTGCTCATATTACACATACCATAATGGTTTCCTTTTTGCTCATCAACACATATGGTAATGGTTTTCTTTTTGCTCATACAACACACACCATAATGGTTTCCTTTTTGCTCATACAACACACACCATAATGGTTTCCTTTTTGCTCATACAAAACATACAGTAATGGTTTCCTTCTTGCTCATACACCACATATCATAATGGTTTCCTTCTTGTTTACTACACATACCATTATGGTTTCCTTCTTGCTCATACAACACACACCATAATGGTTTCCTTTTTGCTCATACAACACACACCATAACAGTTTCCTTTTTGCTCATACAACACATACAGTAATGCTTTCCTTCTTGCTCATACAACACATACCGTAATGGTTTCCTTTTTGCTTATACAATACATACCATAACGGTTTCCTTCTTGCTCATACAACACATACTGTTATGGTTTCCTTCTTGCTCATACATCACATACCATAATTGTTTCTTTCTTACTCATACAACACATACTTCAATTGTTTCCTTCTTGTTCATACAACACATATGGTGATGGTTTCCTTTTTGCTCATACACCACATATCATAATGGTTTCCTTCTTGTTTACTACACATACCATTATGGTTTCCTTCTTGCTCATACAACACATACCATAATGGTTTCCTTTTTGCTCATACAACACACACCATAATGGTTTCCTTTTTTGCTCATACAACACATACAGTAATGGTTTCCTTCTTGCTCATACAACACATAATGTAATGGTTTCCTTTTTGCTTATACAATACATACCATAATGGTTTCCTTCTTGCTCATACAAGACATACTGTTATGGTTTCCTTCTTGCTCATACATCACATACCATAATTGTTTCTTTCTTACTCATACAACACATACTTCAATTGTTTCCTTCTTGCTCATACAACACATATGGTAATGGTTTCCTTTTTGCTCATACACCACATATCATAATGGTTTCCTTCTTGTTTACTACACATACCATTATGGTTTCCTTCTTGCTCATACAACACACACCATAATGGTTTCCTTTTTGATCATACAACACACACCATAACAGTTTCCTTTTTGCTCATACAACACATACAGTAATGCTTTCCTTCTTGCTCATACAACACATACCGTAATGGTTTCCTTTTTGCTTATACAATACATACCATAATGGTTTCCCTACTTGCTCATACAACACATACTGTTATGGTTTTCTTCTTGCTCATACATCACATACCATAATTGTTTCTTTCTTACTCATACAACACATACTTCAATTGTTTCCTTCTTGTTCATACAACACATATCATAATGGTTTCCTTCTTGTTCATACAACACATACCATAGATAATCATACAACACGTACTGTAATTGGGTCCTTTTTATGCCCCAGCAACTAAAAGTTGGGGGGCATATTGTTATACCCCTGTCCGTCTGCCGTCCCATTATGGGTAGATAGTTAATCTACATAACTCCTCCTACAGTTTGAATGCTAGGAAGTTTTCACTATGCTAGCTGTCTGAACATATATTGAAGGTGTGCATGTGGTCAGGGTTTTGATTTTTATTAATATTTGCTTTTGGGAGATAGTTGAACTTTGTCATTTTGGAGTATATACTCGCATAAGAGGTGCATAGAGTTTCCGGATAACTCCTCCTACAGTGAACCATAGATCTATGTGCTCCCATGCTCAACTTTGTGTATTTTAAAATAACACTTTGCATCTGCGGGGGCATCATTTGTGTCTCCCAGACACAATAATATCTCAAAGAAAGTCCTACATTGACTTCGTTATAATACAGATACTTCAGAGGAGTGTGGGGGCATCACTTTGTCTAGTTTTCTCTTATGATACATACCATAACTCTTTCAGTTTTGCTCTCCTGATATCTACCATAATTGTTTCCTGATGAATACTATAATTGGTTTCTTTTTGCCAAGATTGACAATGTTTTTTCAAGGGGTAACAATCTGCTCTATCACCTTATCAGATATGTGTTATTTAATTTATTATACTGAACGTCCTGCCATTACGGTCTTTACAAATTGTAAATTGAAAGTAACTAACTCTGACGTCATGTACATAACAACTTGACAGTTATTAGAAAAATAACAAAAGTGAAGCAAGATGCATTTATTTTTTGTTGACAGTTTGTGAAAAAGGTCTGAGGTTGAAACACAGAATTTGAACATTGTCTTTTATATTATTGATGCAAATTCAATTCACTGTCTTATAAATTATTGATTTTTCTATTGGTCTGCACGAGGGGGTGACCTTTAAAAAATTGTCTCCCGCTGAGCCATAGGATAGAATATATTGTCTCCCTCATATTAACCAGTCAAAATCTGGCATTTTAATGTACATACCATAATTGTATCCTGACATAGATCAATATACACAAGACCTCTCTGATGCAAATATTTCAGTCCTTCTGTTACTTGACTCAGGATATGGAAGTAGAACTTCAATTTAGTATCATCATACTCCTTATACTGTTTTTCTTTGATAAACCGTCTTAGACTTTGTCTTGGACGTTGGAAACATTGCCAGACATGCATGTTATGTTTTACAAATGTTTCCACAATAATAATTTGACGCTTATCATGCTTATTGGTCTTCCTGTCAAATAAAAATAATGTTTCTTAAATGTGATGGTATACTATAATCGGGGAGATCAAAATAAATCATTTTTTAGTGTCCATTGGATGTTGGATGTGTACTAATATATATTTATAGTCATTATTTTTTATTAGTTATTTGCTTTGAACTAGCATTCGGTAAAGTTCTGAGAGTACTCTTAGTGTCTTTTGTGTTTTTGTTATGTTTTGGGTTTTTTTTTTCAGTGTTTTGTATCAATCTGATGAGTTTCAATTAATTTTTATAGTTTGTTTTTATGTTTTACTATGACACCATAGCCACAGGTTAGGGGGAGGGTTTGGCACCAGTAAACATATTTAACCCTGCTAAATTATTTATGTGCCTGTCCCAAGTAAGGAGCCTGTAATTCAGTGTTTGTGGTTTATTGCTGTGTATCATATATGTTTTTATTTTATTGTTTTGTTCATAATTCAGGCTGTTAGTTTTCTTGTTTGAATTGTTTTACATTTGTCCTTTCAGGGCCTTTTCAAGCTTACTTTGCAGTATGGGCTTTGCTCATTATTGAAGGCTGTATGGTGACCTATAGTTGTTAACTTCTATGTCATTTGGTCTGGTCTCTGGTAGAAAGTTGTCTCATTGGCAATCAAACCATATCTTCTTATTTTTATTTTGACTTCACTTGAAATGGAAAATAACTCTAAGATAGTATGTGCCTTTCCAATACAAAATCAATGTAAACACTACTTCCTTTTCTTTTAACAGATTTGACTGCATTTAAGTAAAGAAGGTGACGAGGAACCTTAGGGATCCTGTACTGGAAATCAACTATAAGTAAGTAAGTAAAAAAAAATAATTCAATAAAGAAAAATTCTATTAAATATTTATACAGAATATAGAAAATAAACTGTTATCACAAAGATATGTCTCACCTTTTTGTAATTTTGATAATGCAAATGTTGAAATTAAAATAGCAATACTTTAACATGTAAGTTATGCAAGTATTCAAAGTTGATGAACCATGACTGTAGGTACATGGCTAAACAATCTCCATGGAATGAGATGTGCCAATGCTAGTACAACTGCATACCAAATACCATTGACTTATTGTAAGTCGTTCCCTTTAAACAAACCTAAACACAAACATTAACTTGTAAACTATGTAAAAGTTTCAAAGTCAATGAACCATGATCAGGGGTGGGGCTATATAATCTCCATGGAAACGATACTTGCAAATGCCAATAAATTTGCATACCAAATATCATTGACTTAACATAAGCAGTTCATTTTCAACTGATCTAATCACAAACTAATACATGTAAACTAAGCAAAGTTTCAAAGTAAATAGACCATTACTGAGGGGGCGGGGCCAAATATTCTCCATGGAAATGAGATGTGCTAACGCTTATACAACTGAACACCAATTAACATTGGCCTACCACTAATGGTTCCCCCTTGAACTGACCTAATCACAAACTAATACATGTTAACTTAGCAAAATTTTCAAAGTCTATAGACCATGACTAAGGGGGCGGAGCCAAATAATCTCCATGGAAATGAGATATGCCAATGCTTATACAACTGCATACCAAATATCATTGACCTACCACTAGTGGTTCACCATGAACTAGACCTAATCACAAACTAATACATTGTTGACGCTGCCGCTGCCGTTGCCGCCGACGCCGGAAACAGCATACCTATGTCTTGCTTTTTGACTCCGTCAAGGCGAGACAAAAACGATTGTGACAATATATACCTGTAGTATCTCTCTTCCTTTTGGTACTGTTTAATCATGTCAATATTAATGGCCATTTGAGTTTGTCTTATTGCAACCAGCTCATTATTCTTCTTTGTATCTCTTGCTAAAACTATTTTTGTCAGGACCCCTTTTGAGAGGACATCTGTCATTTCAAATCTGTCCAATGACTCAAAATGCAAATTTTGTGGAAGGAACATCATATTGAAATATTCTACATTCTTGAGCAGAACTTCAACTGTTGCCATTGAAGCATGCCATGTAGCACTGAACGGTTCTGAATGATCATAGGCACTTTCATTCAACATGGAAAGTTTTCTATCAATCTGTTCAATGACTTTCTGTTTCTGGTGGTCAATATATTGGTACAAGACCGATAACTGTGATCCGAAACAGGAATCAATCACCATCTTCTCTGTCATTTTATTGATGACATTTTGTGTATATTCTTTAATTACTTTGTCTTTGTCATTACCTTTCTCGAAGCTCCTCGTTAACATTTCATTTTTAATCACATTACCAAGGTGTCTTAGACCCCAATATGGAAGTCTGACAATAGCACCAATCAGAAACACTGGAGTTAATGCAACACTCAGAATAACTTTCAATCCCAGATTGAGGTTGGTGTATCGATCTGTTATAATGTCTGGTACAAGTGGAATTTTCTCCTCCAATGGTGATTCAGCCTCACCTGTATCACCTCGCCAAGTGTTCCTGAATAATTTCTCAACTCGAAATAACTGAGCTTCAAAATCTGGAAATTTTTCATTAAACTTTTTTAAAAGCTGCTTGCCTATATCTTCAAGTTGTTTTTGTTCTTCTTCCCAAGTTTTCATATGTTTCGATATCCCATCATACACTCTTGACCTTATAATAACTGACACATCCTGGAAACTCTTTTGATAAAATTCAGGATCAGTAGCCTTCAAATTACATAAATCCTTCTTGACATCTTCAGTTCTTAAATATTTTGATAAAGAATCTGCTATTTTACTTAGACTTGATTTCAAACCTGATTTTTGGTGCTCAAAGAATTCATTCACCTCTGCCTTCAATGACTTCATCCTACTGTTAACTTCAGTTTGTTGTCTCTGAGCTTCCTCTACACTGATTGTACTTTTCTGAATATTGTTCTCAATGCAAGTCATGCAGTTGTTCAGGAAATCAAACAACTTGCTGAAAAAGACATAAATGTTGAGGAATTCATAACTAACAGTTACAGGTTGTTTTCTCAGACAATAATTACTTTGTCTTGTCCTTAGTCTAAATTGTTACCCTAAGCCTCTAACTTCAGGTAACAGTTTGGTGTTCAGGTTCAACAAAACAGATGTTTTCCTTGAATGGAGTCAATAACTGTGTACTGATGGGCAACAACATTAGAATTTGTCAGAAGACTTCATCGGTTTACATGCTATTCATTGATAACTCCAGCATATGTTTCATCAATGTAGCAGTTATCAATAAATATCAAAGAGTAACACTAGGAATAGTAATAAAAGTCCTTTTCTTTTAATATGCTTACTGAGTATTTCCAAGTGTTTTATAAGGATTTTTGTCTATGTACATACCACCACCATCATTCTTTTTTCATATATCAAATATCAATTATACTATAAGCATAATGTTCAGTTCATATCAATGATTGATGTCAACTGAGACAATTAGTATGATACAACTGTTACAGCATTTAATGACTTTTCAGAAAATTTTGCTTGTTAAAATGATTTACACAAAATAGCCAACTAATGAAAAAAGAGTGATAAATGAAATATATGGATTTTTATTTTACCAATGATCCAGTGCGATGTCAATAATTCATTATCTTTGACTAATGACTGTGCTTACCCTGTTGATGTTGTTAATGTATAATATGTTCGAATAACCCAGTGCTTACATTATCAATGAAATTCACATATTATATTTTTCTATAAATGACCCAGTGCTTACCCTGTTGATGTTGTTAATAGCTGATCCCTACTTGGAGGTAGGAGATTGATGATGCCCTGCAATATTTTTTCAAATCTTCCAACAATTAGTCCATCCTTCTGGATCCAGAGAGCTTCCTTTGTTGATAATGTGTATAAATGTGACGACTGAAATCCAATCCAAACTTTCTTTAATTTCTTTAATGCATCTTCGTGAACTGATTTTCTTTCATCAATAGGAACCTAATGAATATAGAAAAAACGGCAGGCATAATTTCCTTCCTAAACTAAGTTCCATTCAATGTACACAGTTAAATCCAATCTTATCAGATTTTAATACTATATTATTTTTCAGTCACCTTTACAGAGGAAACAAGTGAAACTGCGAGCTACTGCTCACTGATGATACCCTCGCCCAAATACTTGATGGTAAACAGGAAGTTGTTGAGTGATGAATCTGAAAACGCATCACACGGTATAGCTGACTTATATAAACCCTGAAACCAAATTTCAGAAATCCTTGTATTGTATTTCCTGAGAAAAATGTATCGAAAATTTTCAACTTGGCTATCATGTGTAAAATGATACAAGTGTTCGGTAAACAGGAAGTTGTTGAGTGATGAATCTGAAAATGCATCACAAGTTATAGCTGACATATATAAACCCTGAAACCAAATTTCAGAAATCCTTGTAATGTAGTTCCTGAGAAAGATGCAACGAAAAAATATTCATGGGACGGACGGACTGACAGACGGATGGATGGACTGACGGATGGATGGACTGATGGATGGACGGACGGATTGATGGACAGACAGAGGTAAAACAGTATACCCCCACTTTTTTAAAGAGGGGGTATAATAATTAAACTATCAGAGCTATTTGTTATCATAAACTTTTCTCTCATATAGACAAGTAAAAAGAACACAAATGTATTTTTTAGAAAACTTAAATATGGAAAAAAAGTGTATGGTAAAAGAGGACAACATTTTATCAATTAAACAAGTATATTGAATGAAAGTTATGTTCAGAAACTCCTTACTCTGTAAGCAATACTCCTAGTTCTTGAAACTAAAAATTGGAGGCTTCAAGACTGCAACTTCAACATTGCCCAAGACCTTGAGGTTATGATTTTTTCACATCCTATAGATGTTAATGATACTTTACCAGTTCTTCTTATCATTTTTGAACTAAGGCAAATATATAAACAAAGAAAATGTATGGGTCATAAACTTGAAATGGACTTTTAAGTTAACTCTCAATCTTAGCACCGATGGCCACATCTGGGAGTATGACAGGTATGGCTGGTCATAAAATAAGGTTGTATGAAAGATTTTTGAAAGATTGAAATAATTTTTAATAAATTTGAAAGTATACCCTGACCTACCTGGTCCCATTTATTACATACAAACAAAGTACAGTCCTGCTTGTAATACTTGTTTTCTGTCATGACTCTTTCAGCTATCTCTGCAAGTAACATTTCCAACTGAAATTCAAAAAACAGTTTTCAGTTTTCTCCAATCATAATTTTCTTTCCATGTTTTTATACTACAAAATATTTATTACTGTTATTTGGTTATGTTAACTAGATCAATCTGTTGTCCTTCAGCCAATATTCTATAAAGGGAGAATACTGAGGAATCATTTATTTTGATGGGTACCAACTCTCTTGGTTTGAGAAAAAAATGTATTTTTGTGGATATTTGATTTCTCGGTTTTGCAAAAATCTGCACATAAACCAAATTTGTACTCTGTTGAACATTTAAAATCGTGGTTCACCTGTACCCACATAATCCATGAAATTTGGTATCCCACGAATAATAATGAATCCACAGTAGTTAGGTTTGAGACAGTTTGCCCCTGCGCATAGTTAATAACAGAATTGGTACAGACTTTCTGCACTAAATTATTACATATACTGTGATCAACCTTCTAAAAGGAGAAGATATAACAAGATCTGAAAAAAGCCAATGTTTTTACCCTGTTTTTGCAAAAAATTGTTAAGCTTGAAGGTTTTACTGATAACATAATAGGTTGATATTATCTGGAGACATTAGTGCAAAAAGTTCAGTTTTATTGTCACTATGGTATCATAAACATGTTGAAATAAACTTTCCTGACCTAAAATGGTCATTAAATGCATTATCGTAGCTTTTGTCAAAACTAGACATCAGCTATAGCTTATCCAAGAATAAAATGTTACCCACATAAACATAAGACAACTTGTAGCAAAATAACTTTTTAAAATCTCAAATTCAGGTTACTTTGGATGTTTTTGCAGTTTTGAGTTATAAATTTAACGCTCTAACATTAATATGCAAGACAAAATTTAAAAATATAATACTCATACCTATCTTGTTAAGATAATAACATTAACGGTATCAATTTTTCTGCATATGCATGTTGACAATAAATGTCTCTGTGAGTCTTCAGTGACCTAACTGATGTCATTTTAATATAGGTATAGGAAGAACATTTTATTGGTACTTAGCTTCTAATGAAAATTATGTATGTCATTTTGAAGCAAACCGGATGCCATACACATCTCTTTTGGTTATTTTTGTGGTTGGTTTAAATGTGATTTCATTGGCATATACTTGACATCTCCTTTTATTCACAGTCCTTTGTGTCTTGTCTAGTGGTGTTATCTTTACCTGGACAGCAGTTGTTATTTAGGTCATTAGGACACTGATATAGTAATTTGACAACTATTAAAACAATAACTGTCAAAATATTGTTTATATAAACATGTGATACTACTTCAAGTAGAACACAGACATACTAAATTAATGAAATAATTAATTCAAGACCATAAAATTTGGGATACATGACAGTAGTTATGGATTGAGTTTCTAATGAGGTGACTATCCAGATGTGACAGAGAGTTGAACATATTTCAAACAAAATAAGGGTTAGAAAAAAACATGACAGCCATGATAAATTCACTGAGACACTCACTCTTGTGATCTGTACTCCATCAATTGTGTTGATGATAAAAACAAAAGCCGAGGCTTCCATTATATAATCTAGAACCAACTTCGTCATTTCTGGGGTATCTCCAACACCTGGACTATCCACAATGATCAAACCAGTCTGAAAATAAATCTTATTTATTATACAGTTATCTCCCCTGCTGCCAATTTAACTGCTTATTCAATCTTTATATTTTCATATTTTACGATTTCATATTTACTACAGCTTCAGGAAAATTGGATTCACATGAAAATCTTAACCATAGATTGAATCTTGTAGCTGTCAACTTGCCTTACTTAAAGAACTTTTCTGCTTTTCTGGAGTTTTAAAAATTTTACATGTCAAATCAGAAAATATTTTTAATAAAGCATCAAGTGTTGTCATTTTAAGCATGTAATCTCATAATAAAAAGGCAAAGGTTAAAGTATTTTACACTTAGATTCTAGTTAATATAACTTGTACTTTTAAGTAAAAAGACTAAATCACTAAATAAATATTCAAAACAAAATTTATTAATAGGTGCAGTAAAAGCCATATTTGACCCTCAATATTAGGTCCATTCTTTCAAGATGTGAAGTGGTTCAAGTTCATGCATAAACATATGAGATCATATGGTGAAAAACAATGATTTTTGTTGAGGTTTTTTTATAAAGCATTTACATTTACAACCCAAGTAGGCCAAAAATAGAGATTTTGGTGAAATTTAGGAATAGGAAACATTAGAGTGCAGGGTTTGACAAACTAAATGTTCAAGTCTGGTTACCAAGGTAAAAGTACTGTTAACTTGTAATATAAATAGTAAATTTCTACTACACATCATTCACAGCTGATAATAATTGAAGATTAACACAATTTCAGTATATAATGCACATGCTGTAATAGAAAGTATTAAACATATATCATTTTTTGCTTAATAAAACCCCCATAAATTTTCAAATTGACAGCACGCCATTACCTTCAAAATAGGCAATGGAAACCCTATCTCAGCTTTCTGAAATGAAGATCTCTTCTTTTCTTCATCTCTTTGTTGTACTAGCTGTGAAAGTCTTGTAAAGTCAAAATCTTCCATCTTCTCACTCTCAGAACTGATACTTTCTGGTTTGACTGTATCCCCTTCATCCTCATGTGGATAAAGTGTAGCATAAGGTATCTCAGAGTAAGATATCTCACATATGACACTGGTGTTACTTAATAAAGAGCATGGGAATACTTCCTGGCCTAATAATAAATTAATAAAAGAACTCTTCCCAGCTCCTGTATCTCCTACAAAATGTTCAAAATGAAAATTTACTGTAAAATTCAGATATTTGTGTGCTCATTTATTATTGTGATTGATGAACAGAATAAAATTCCAGTTTATTATTGCAATTTCAGGAAATGATCCATACAATTATGATGTCAAAATTTAAAATGTGAGTTTTAAATTTGCGATACCTATCCTGTTTCAATTTTTAGCTAAAATTTCTGAATTAAGAAATTAAAACGAGTCCAAAATACATATGCCTAAATGAATTATGATGTGTCTGAGTCTAGAACTGTAGATATATGTTTTAGTATATATGCATCAATTAATCTTAAAATAGATTGCTTAACATTTCTTACGAAGAAGAATTTGTTCAAGGTATAATGTACGTATGCATCAGTTGGTCATCATAAATGCATGGGGAAATGTTTTTTATAAAACATTCTCCATAAACATACACGTACATGTACATTGTGTATGATTTTATCTCTAATATCAACATCTAACAAACTCTTTCTATTATTCCAAGAAATTTAACTCAAAAATATTAAAAAGGTCAAATCTGACATTTTAATTTGTACTTCATAATAGTTGAAAAAGCATCCAAAAATATTAATTTTACCTAAAACTAACACTGGACATCTTGATATTTTACCATCCAGTTTTCCCTTCTGTTTCTTCAGCATTTTTAAAACATTAATGTTTTTATATCCTTTACTAACACTTCTGATTAGTGGATCCTCATGAGAATAAAAGTCTAAACTTTTAATAGTTTTCTCATATATTTCCATGAGTTCATGTCTCACTTTAGAATCTTCTTCTGCTGCTACCATTAATTCTTTTATCACCTGTAAATATCATATTCTAAAATGAGGCTTTTCTTTTGCTTTTTTAACAAAGCCATGTTAAGGCCCCTCATAGGGGTGTCCAAGTAATCACATAATCACAAATATTTTGCTAACATAATCACATAATCATTAACTATTTTTTTAAACAAGATAATCAAATAATCAAAAATACAGTCCTAGATTATCAAATTATCAAATAATCATGAAATATTTGGTCTGGTAATCAAATAATCACTATAAAAACGGCCAAGTAATCACATAATCAAAAACCCCATGAGGAGGTTCCATGTTCTAAACATGGGTTATACATGCTGATGTCACAATTAAATTTGCAACATCAGTTATATTTTGAACGATGCTGAATATCAAAATTTACATTTCTGAGAGTTGCTTGCCTTGAAATACAATAAAATCTTTTAAAATGTAAGTCTATTATGATTTGTACACTTTATTAAATCATAAAACACTTGGTTATTTCAGAACATTTTTGTTTCATTAAATCAAAATGGCTGCCTTTCGACTGTGTCTTATAGATATGCTTCAAAAGAAAAAAGTTCTGAATTTTACTACTAGCATCAAAGGATGTCTTTCATGTTATGCTTTATATTCATTTAAACATGAGTAGGCATTATATTTGTCTCTGAAGTCAATATAGAGATATTTACAAATGTAATGCCTATATATCTATGTTAAAAGTTATTCAAATCAGTGGTTGTCGTTTGTTGCTGTATTTCATATTTTTTTTTCGTTCATTGTTTTGTACATAAATCAGGCTGTTAGTTTTCACCTTTGAATTGTTTTACATTTGTCATTTCTTGGCCTTTTATAACTGAAAATGCGGTATGGGGTTAGATCATTGTTGAAGGCCGTACAGTGACCTACAGTTGTTAACTACTATACTGAAGCCATAACCATTTAATGTAAATGTGTTTGTGCTAATAAATTTTGTCTATTGTCTATTGTCTATATCATTTGGTATCTGGTGGAGAGTTGTCTCATTGGCAATCATAGCACATCTTCTTATTTCTATATAGAGCAATCTGCATGTGACGAAAGAATAATATCTTAGGTTTTAATATTTTGAAAATCAATCAATTTTTTTACACCTATGCAGACCATGTCCTTTTCAATTTAAATTTTTCTTTCATAAGACAAAGTAACAATTATGCAGTTTAAAATATTCTCAAAAGATGGTCAGGGGTAAAAAATGCTTGCCTATCTGATAATACACTTGTCTGAAATAATAAATGGTAATGTGCTTCATTATAAGTTATCTACGCTCATATCCTTAGATATGGGTATTTTAACACCCTGAAGTACCCAAGTACATCCTGAGGTGAAACTAAAGAGTGTACAAGGTACTGAAGGGTGTTATAATACCCATATCTACGGATATGAATGTAGATAATGAATTTATGTCTGGTCTTAGTCTGAATCAGGCAATTTCTAGGGAAATTCAGGCGCAAAGTGTAATGTGAAAGCAACGTTTTTTTTATTATTCAAAACAGTTTGATCAAAATTTGGAAATTTGACATATATTTAATGAGGTGTAGGGTACTACTTCCTTTGGTAGAACCTACAGTTAGTCAAATATAAGACGTTTGTAATCCAGAGACAGAGAAACTAGAATAAATCAAATTGGCCCTCAATGTCGCAAGTATTTTGTCATAGACGGCATTACGTCAACCTGGGTCATTTGCACAACTAGGTCAGTAGTTCTGTTCATTGAAGATGTGGAAGCCAAGTGATGCATTTACTAAAATGAATGCCAACGATCGGCATGATAGGATAATATCGTCAGTGAATTACATATTTAATTACATACATCATGGATAATTTACAGAATTTCATTTTTCACTGAGAACAACCACGGAACTAAGGAAAAGGCATGTGAAGTTCCCCGAGGTAATGGGTAGCAACTCCCCCGTATATGGGTTAGCAACACCTGGGGCTATGGGTTTTTTTAACGACGGCCATTAGCCAATCAGAATCCCAGAAATATACTAAGCCAGGGATAAGACAGATATTTATACATGATATGGACTGAGTCACATCTGGCCATACTAAATAATAAAGGGACAGGAAACTAAAGTTATTTTTAAATATCTTTTGTCTCCACAAATTTAGATGTAAATATCTGTTCTGGGGACCATTCCAAACACAGGTCTACTATTTTTGTAACCCTCTTAAGATTGCTTATTGATTTTGATTAAAATTGTGTGACCTTGAGGTGAATGATTGTAGGGTGGCACATGATACTTGCTATTTCCATTTCCATAAATAATCTTATTATAAAATTGTTTTTCTGGTGTCCAAAGTTGGAGAATTTTTCATTATCTCTGGCAAATTTTTAAAATATTTTAATTTTAGACTATGCACTGGTTTAAGATCTTCTTGTCTCCTAACTACATGTAGCTGTCATTAAAAAAAATTATATTGTTGGAAAGAAGACTTTTATGTGGCCTTGTGTATTTTTTTATTTACAAATTCATTGTCAGAAAATTTAAGTTGATGATTTTTATTAAAATGGGGAGGGGGTGAGTCCTATTTTAACGCAAAAAAAATACATTCCCGAGTCCAAATATACCATATACCATGTATACTGTTAAAACGGCAATAGAATATGAAATAAACTTAAAATTGCATTTAGCTGAGGAAAGACCGTGTAATTAACAAGTTTAAGTTACATGTACATTGTATGCAATTTTGTATACTGTCTCAAGTGAATCACTGATAATATCAGCTATTTTTTTGTAATTACTGATCATATAGCACTGATTTTACAGGTATACATTACATTTTTTCATAAATAGATTTTTTTTCTCATCTTTTCTTTTTAAAGAGTACATCTGAATAATCCATAATCTATTTAATTGTTCATCTTTGAGACAATTTATGTACAGGATAATTTTATGCAGTGTAAATTAAGTTTTACAAGCAAATTAGTCATGTGTATGTAGTAAAAAAAATTGAAAATGGAAATGGTACACTGAAAAAAATCTAAATATTGTTGAATATTATTAGAAGTGTCAAGTCCCTTCATGTATTCGTTAATTTTTTTTTCTTTTCTCTGTCAGTAAAGCAAACAGTGTACAACTTGTTTCTCTAATATTAGAGAATAAGACAAGAACAATATTGGATTATCCTATTATTTTTTCTAAATTATCACATATTCTGAATTCAATTCTAAATAATATCTGCTCTTAAATGTTGACAAAAGTAGCCTTACCAAACAAAATTGTACAAAGTCATACATCAGGTTTCTTGGCAGTGCACCGACAGCACTCAAGACAGATATCCAACAAATTCATTTAATACATACATGTACTTATTCTTCTTATTCATCTGAAGTTTTGTTGTCAAAAAACACAACATAGATTTTTTGTAATATAACAGTTGAAATCTAGATTTTTTTTTATTGAACTTTTATGTATAATAATTTGCCTATTATATATGACGCCCCTTCTCACAGGTTTTTGAAAAAAAAATAAGTGTCAGTCGAGGACGCCTACATTATCTAGTACATCTAGCCCCCGTTGTAATATCATGATATCATGAATAAAAATTTGCACAATAGTTTTATTTTTGTTTTTTTTTGGTGAAGGACAAACCGAAAGTAGACCAAGAAAAAAATAATTTACACTTTCTCGGTTTCTCCGATCTTTCAGCAAGTATTTCTTCAGTTCGCATTTTATTTCTTCTAGATCTTTTAAACCAGTAATTTTTATATTTCTTTGCTTGGCAAGTTTCACAGCTGCGGGCAGTTTAAGTTTGTCTATTTCATCGTCATCCAAATTTGCCATGTTTTTTTGTTTATTTAGTTAGTTGTCTCCCCATTTATTGGGTCGAATTTGGTTGGTGTGGCTCTGAGATATCCGGTATGTCGGCACATGAAGTAGCGGGTTGTGTCGCTTCGATTTTTAATAAGTATTTATCGATATGTGGAAATCAATCTCATTTAATCTTTTATAAACAAAAAATGTATAATTAACAAGATTTTAAGAATAACACATTTTATTTTTGTTTTAAAAACTACATATTTTTTTCAAATTATCAAGTAAAGCCGAACGCGTTTAGCATGTTTAGTCTTCCTGAACTAATTAATTTTCGATGGTCGAGTGGTGTGTCACTAGCCTACTAGCCAGTGAAAGACCCGTCTTAATTCCATTTAACTGATAAATTTAACAACACGTCTTACCGTAATCTTAATGATATTTTTTTCGGTGATTAATCATGTGTTCTCTATAGATAGATAGATAGATAAATTTTGATTTCCAATAGAGGACCCATTATGGACATAATCAGTACAGTGATTTTTTTTTTATATTAAACAATTGCAATATAGACAATACACAAGAAAAACAACTCAAAATGAAATATAAATTGAGTTAATAATATATATAGCCATATATATGGCACGCCTGAACCACTTTTATAGATAATCCTAGATTATCTCAGATAAACTAGGATTTTCTCAGATAAACTAAGATTATCTCACTATTTTACATTAAGCGTCAGTTAAACCGGGATTATCTCGATGTCCATGCATGCACCAGAAGCAGCATCACCTATCAAAAAAGAAAAGCAACACGTGAACCTAAGACCGCTGACTGGTCACCAAAAGATTGTTGCTGAATTTTTGTTTGCCTTTGAATTGAAATAATTGACTGTGAATAGAAGGAGATAATGATGAAGTTAAACTACCTTTATTAAAAATATGTAATACCGGTAGTGTGTACATTCTTGCACAAGTCAGTTGAAAGCAATGTTGGATAGGTGTGAATAGAAAAGTGTATATACAGCTACTATTTGATTTCTAGGCACTTTATAAATATTCTAAAGCCTGGTATTTCTTAATCATAAGAAATCCGATGGACAAGGTATAATTTACAGTTGTCACTACACATAGGCAGACATACATATATATATATAAATTTACAGTGATTGTATGCTTCTAAAAATAGAACAGCATCCTGTAATTATACTAAAGAGATGAGTAGATGATCATTTCTGGACACTTAAAAATACTTTGTGTATTGCGTCTACATGTCCTTGTTTAATTCCTACGAGAAGGTAACACCTCCCGAAACGAAAGCTGATTTTTATCAGCTATAGTTAGAGGAGGGGATAAGGCGTCTGCGCAATGTTAGGCGGTGTTGCCGTAGAAGTATGAAGTGAAAAGTACAGGTTCCAGCCCCGTTCGGGGAGGAAGTAAAGAATCAAATCTACTCTAACATTGTTAGGTTGATTTCTAGGCACTTTATAAATATTCTAAATCCGATGGACAAGGTATAATTTACAGTTGTCACTTCACATAGGCAGACATACAGCTACTATTTGAATATACATTTTAAAGCTCGACTATTTCATTTATTACTTGGGATTGTACATCATTTTTTATAATCTTATTGCAAATCCCAGTTTCTACAAACCGGATGTATAATGCAAACTGCACAAACCAATCGCAATATAAATTTAAGCACTCAGTTTGCTTTATCATCTGGATGCATTTATTTTATCTATCACATCTTTATATTTTGTTTCCTGCATGGATGCCTTCATATTCTCAACTCGTTATTGATGTTGTCTGTACTCATGGTAGATGTTGTACAGATAAATTTAAAGTTCATTTTCCATGTGAAGTGAAACCCTGTGGCATGCAACTTATAAGAAGGTTTCGTATATTTTTCTTGAGAGTAACACACCAGCTTCATTTGGACTTCTTCTATAGAGACTTATTTTGGTCTCATAAAACATCTCAAATTTTAAGGATTTCCTGATTTTACTTAAATCAATCCAAATATTTTACAGGGAAACTTGGTTTTGAAGAATATCTTATTTTCAGAAGTTTTATGAATACCTGAACATACTCTCAAAAGAACCAATTTATATAAAAAGACATGTAGATATTAAAAAAAAATACCAGGATTAACATGTTGTACGCCAGACGCGAGTTAAGTCTACAAAGAATCATCAGTGACGCTCGAATAAAAATAGTTAACAAGGCCAAATAAAGTACGAAGTTAGGTAATCTATTCCTTGGGTAGAAAATCCTTGGCATTTCGAAAATGTCAAAGTTTATAAAAGGACAGTGACTCAAAAAAGAAAACAAAAGAGAAACAGCTAGAGGTCAGAATACCGTAAGCAAAGCGGTGTTTGAAAGTCACATGGCAAGCTCTTATTGCCGTGTCCTAAATTTTAGATAAGAAAAGCGAAAATTCGCATTCGCGAGTGAAATTAATATTTATGCATGAACGTGGTATTTTTGCGCAAGAAATAGTAAATAGAAAGCATACGCACTGATACTCTGGATAAGAATACGCATTTGCGTCATCACATATATTAATCTAATAGTTGAATTCGGATGTCAAACTACCTACCTCAAGTGTTTTGACTCCGGATTCATTGACATTTTATCCGGAATTTTTGTGAACGCAAACCGATAGTGTTCGTGTGAACAGGGTGATGTATAATGTGAATGAATCAAGACGTGTAGGATAGCTAACCAATACAATGAATACAATTTTCAAAACCGTATCATAGTACAAATATGTAGATGCTATAAGGTTGAACTAATAAAAGAAAAATAAAAATAAAAAATTAATAATTAACATTATGATAGTAATTAAATTTTGTTATGATTATTGTAAAATATTAATTACGTTTTTTGTGAGATGCAAGGATTTAAAATCCTTGTGAATTGAAACCACGCAAGTTTTTTTTTCCAGGGGCGTAGTTAAAATAAAACGATGTGCAAGCAAATACCGCCGAGCGGAGCGAGGCGGAAAAAATTTGGGACCCTTTTATGCAGATTTTTTTTTTTTTGGTTTTCGGTCATTAGATGGTTAAAAGAGGAGCTACACAACAAAAGATTCTATAGACAATTCTTGAATGCAAAACTATTCAGAAATCTTCTGAATAGGGTAAATCATGGTAAATTGAATACATAAACAACACATTTTTGTGAGACAGTATTTACTCAAAATTGTCCAGAATCTGCTCTTCGGGTCTTAGCAAAAACGAACTTCTCCGTTACTTTGTTAATATTCACACTGAAATCCCAATGAATATGCATTAATGCTAGCGATGATAACCTGTCGTTGTTCATCATGGTTGATCGTACTTATGTTTTTAACCGACGCAGTACACTGAATGATCTCTCCGAGGTACATGTAGCACTTGTTACCGGCATTGTCAACATAATACTCAAAATAGTATCTATAGAAGGATACAACACTTTGCTTACCGCATCGAGTGTCTCACACAGCAAATTTGGCGTATGATCGCGAGTTACTATACACCAGCGTGTTCGTCATCGAGCGACCTCCCACTAGATTGCATTCGTCTAATTGAAATTACATGCCAGGTCAGTCTCGTATGTCTCAAACAATGTTGCGATTTTTTCGTTTGATATATTTTCTACAACACGAGGAAGCAGATACTGCGCAAAGAAGCAATTTTCTGATGATATCTGACAAGACTCCAGTTCCATTATCATGTGGTCTATTAGTTTATTAGTTGTTAGTGGCTTTGAACTAGCTGTCAGATAACTGCGAGCACTCTCAGATCTGTTCCTAGTGTCTTTTTGTTGTTGGGATGTACAAGTACCCGGCCACGTCCACTTGTATTTTTGTCCATCTGATGAGTTAAGCCTTTTTCAACTGATTTGTATAGTTCGTTCTTATGTTGTACTGTTATACTACTGTCCCAGGTTAGGGGAGGGTTGGGATCCCGCTAACATGTTTAACCCCGCCACATTATGTATGTATGTGCCTGTCCCAAGTCAGGAGCCTGTAATTCAGTGGTTGTCGTTTGTTTATGATTTACATATTTGTTTTTCGTTCATTTTTTGTACATAAATAAGGCCGTTAGTTTTCTCGTTTGAATTGTTTTACATTGTCATTTCGGGGCCTTTTATAGCTTACTATGCGGTATGGGCTTTTCTCATTGTTGAAGGCCGTACGGTGACCTATAGTTGTTAATTTCTGTGTCATTTTGGTCCCTTGTGGACAGTTGTCTCATTGGCAATCATACCACATCTTCTTTTTTATATGAACGCAAAATATTAATAAGACTTTCCAATACTGCTTCGGTGAGTTTGCAGGGTGATTAGCTCTGGTAGTCTATCGACCACATCGCCTTGGCATATTTTCAACGATATCGAAGGGTTCGGATAAATCTAATGCCGATTGGTACATCTCATTCAAAACAGATTCATCGCTTCGTTTAGCTCGTAACAACTCAATAACAGTTTTACATTCGTTTTTAGCCTCCAACAGATCACATTTGATACCTTTCAGGTATTTCTACAGATACACCGTACTCTGTTAAATGTGCTCCGAAATTAAAAGTGCCGAATAACACATTCAAATCTTGTAATGGATGCAAGGTACTGTCCGGTTTTGTCATCTCCAATCAAACTTTTATTTTGAAACCCAATGCCGTTATTTAAAGACGTTTCATCAATTAAAAAAGTGTCAACATATGTGTTTCCTACAAACATTTAATTCATAAATCTTTATTTTGCCATATTTTTTTTTTTCAATGCCGAATCGATGTGCACGCAACTGCGTGTTGGCGTATAGGAAGCTACGCGCCTGTTTTTATTCACGACCGTTTAAAATTTAGATATTTAGCTAACTTTGGGTACGCATCCCTGCTCATACGTTACATATAATTTTCATAAATGTAATGACTGATCAAACATGTGAGACATAATGCACGTATACATTACAATTTTAATTATTCTATAATTATTAGGAATAAATTCAGTCTCAGTTTTACCTTAACAATGAATATTCTCTTAGTCTGGTAGTATCTATTAA